TGTTAAAAAGCCCGCATCCTATCCTAACTGAAATGACTTTAGAATAGACTACACGATAATCAGCATCACAACTTGAGTCAATACCGATTAGCAAAAGAGTATCAGTCTTTCGCATATGTCAAAATGTTGCATGATCTTTGGAGTCTACTGCAAATAACATGTATTGATGCGTTGATTTTGGCGAGGGATAGTTAAATGCTAGTCTTTCAAACGCGTGGCTTTTGCAAATATTTTATCTTGTTTGTTCAACGTCTTTCAAAGAACGGCAAAGGGCTGGTATCTCATTCAGTACGCAAAACAGTGCAGATTTGATGCACGATTTTCAAAGCAGCTGAAACCATACCGCAGGCATGAAAAGCTGCAGTAGATAAACCTAAAGGGGATTTTTCTGTTTCTGTCCTCAGTTGATGGGCTTGCTGACTGACTGACTGACTGACTGACTGGAAGACCGGTTTACAAAGGAGTGACTGACTTCGCCCTTAGCGCATATTTCTCACACAAAGTACAGCAAACTGGGCGCGAGATTTTTAATTTGCCAAAACCTGCTCTTTGGATGAGGTCGGGAGGTTTGTGATGCCGCAGAATGTAGCTTTCTTAAATGTTTACTTCTCTCTTATCAATACAACCTTAATAGGTTAATAATAAAATACGGAGATAACGTTACTTCTATATGTTGGAGCCCTTTTAAATGACTAAGAAGATTTGTGTATACAATCAACATAGCACTTTCAAAAATCGTGCTTTAGAGTTTTTGACATTCTGTAAATCGTGCGGTATTAATCATGTGAAAACAGATATTGTCGGACTGTTATAGGAGTTACTCGTTTTACAGCTTACTCAGTAAAATTAAGCGTAAAGTCGGGCATTTGCCTTATTTTGCGGAAATATAGCTACTTATTCTGCAGGTACTGACAACTGAGAATAATTCAAGAGAATCGAGAGGTTACTTGCCAACAGAGACATTTCACTTAATGTGCGTAAAGCCTTCACAGTTGAACTTAAAAACGTGCCAAATAATTGACTGGGAAATTTTATTAATAACCCTGGACAGTGCTTATTACCAACTTACTTAATAGGGTCTCCTTCAAGAGTATACTAAACAGCAAACGTTTTCAGCAAGTTATTCCTCATAACTTGATTCGCTTTACCAACCGTTATTCAAACAACGCTTGTACTAGGTTTTCCAGGAGAGATGTCATGACTGGCCGATAAGTAAAAAAACACGAACTTTACCATAAACGTTCAATTTTGCTAGTCTGTTTTGGTCAATATAATAAGCTTGGGTATCGTCTGCCTTCCTGCGACATGTGCAGCTGTCTCATTCGTGATACGACATGTTAGAATGCACGAATGTTGATGTCCACATCTCCTGTAGAATTCGATATCACCCCTTTTTCTGCACCTTCTCGACGTATTTTCCTTTACTCCAACGTACTAGACATGATGGGCATACTGTCGTAAATCTTATTTCCGGTTTCATAAACCAAATGCAGACATCTAATTAATTTAAGTATGTACCAATCAAAGCACTTACAGTCAGCAACGTGAACTCGGCCTGAACTTGTGCTCACTACAATCGCGTAATCACGTAAAGCATCCGCCTGGTCGGTCACTTGTAAACCCATGACGCAGTGCCGGTG